GGATTTGACTATTGAGGCTGGAAAGGCTCAGGAAAGCGTCTCTCTGGAGAATTCTGGGCCTGGAGACCTTCGGTGAAGGGCTGGGTCTCTCTCCTCAGAGGCTCGGAGATCTCACAGGGCCATCTTTTCTGTAGGCTCTTCATTGGAGATGGGAAAACCCGCCTAATACTAAAGGGACAGTGACACCGAGCTGGAGGCTTTCCTGCGGCCCAGGTGGCTTCTGAGGACCCACCCAGGTTACAGACGGGCCACCTCCTGCATTTCCTGCTGGGGCAGAGGCCCAGAGCAGCCGCCCACCTGCTTCCCACCCACCCCTCCCCCCGGTTGCCTGGCCTCCCAGATGACACACCGCTGCCAAGTTTTGAGGATGCTCTAGGTTCTCCGAATTCCTTCATGCTCATCAGAGACCTCAGCCTGGGGAGCGCGTTGCCAGCCCTGCCCGGCCTGGTACCACACAACAGAGGGGTTTTTCTTGACCAGGAAGCTCCCAGGAGCAAAAGAGCAGTTGGAAGAGGTGGCTGTTTACATATGAGTTCATTTCCTCCACCCCCTTTCTTCTTCTCCTGGCCCCGGACTCTTCTGTTACAGAGGGGCCTGCTGGGCAGTTTCCTTGCTTCCTGAGCTGCCAATCTAGCCTTGCAATAAATAGTCCAGTGTTTCCTTTGGCGTGGACTTGCTTTTTGCTTCAGAAATGAGCACTGCTGGGGAGGAAGCAAAAGTCCAGGTTGGGCCTTAACGTCCCAGAGTCTAGTTAGCTGGGCCCTGGCCTAGAGTCCAGTGCTAAGGTAGGTACTTAGGATGCAGGCCACCCCAGAGCCCATCTCCCACTCAGCCAGACCCATCTTGGACCTCTGCCGGGAGCTCAGATCACAGTCTGCATGGTCCTGCTGAAAAGCCCAATGCAAGAGTCCAGGGTTTGGGGTAGTGCCCAGTACTACCTAGGATATGGACCAGCCCACTCAGGGCACTCCGCTTGGGGTGAGGGTGGGGATGGGGGCAGGCCAGAGGGGCAAGGATCTCCCGAGGAAATTGATAACATGGCATAACATGGGTCTGGAGAGACAGTGGTCTTTGGATGCAAGATACAAATATCACAAATAAGGAAGGATTTTTCAGTCCTTCCTTAAAGAGGAAAATGCTCACTAGAGAAAATCACCAGTATGTTTCAAGGCTGCCTGGTGAGAAAGCGGACATGCGACATGCCCAAACAGCCAGAGCAATTTTTGGAGGAAAGGAAATAAATAATAATAACAGTAATAAACCTAAAAAAAAAGAGGAAAAATACAAAGGGAGGAAATATGAAAAAAAAACATGCAAATTAGAACACTTACAAAGAGTGAAAAGTGTTAAAGGTTACTGTTTCATTTGGCTAAATAAGTAATGAAATAAGGTTTTGGTAAATCTAGTAAATAACAAAATAGTTATATACACATGCGTGCACAGCTAATGCGGACTATGTTATGTGCTCGGCACTATGCAGACTGCATAGTCTCGTTTACTCCCCACAATGACCCTCTGAAGCAGCACAGTGGGTTGAATAGTGTCCTCCCACATCCATGTCCACCCGGAACCTCAGAATGTGACCATAGGTGGAAATAAGGTCTTGGCAATGTACTTAAGGTAAGGAGCAATCAAGGTGAGATCATGCTGGGTTAGGGTGGGCCCGAAATCCAATGGGAGTCCTTAGAAGAGACAGAGAAGGACAAAGAGAGACACAGAAAAGAAGGCCTGTGGAGAAGGGTGGGGCAGACTGGAGTCACGGAGCCACGTGCCAGGACCAAGAGTCCCCAAGAGCTAGGAGCTAGAAAGGGTTTTCCCCTACAGCCTTGGAGGGAGCGTGGTCTTGCTGACACCCTAATTTCCAACCCTAATTGGTGGCCTCAGAACTGTGGGGGAATAAATTTCTGTTAAGTCACCCAGTTTGGGGTAATTTGTACAGCAGCCCCAGGAAAGTAATACAGACAGGCACTTTGACCCTTCTAATCTTTCAGAGGAACAGATGGAGGATCCAAGAAATGTTTCCCGTCCCCCAGCTGCATTCCTTTTAGTTCTTAAACACGAAAACATTCTTTCTCCTCCCTTAAAGTCTAATCGATGTAACTGGCTTATAGGAATTGAAAATTTGTAGCCCTTAAACATTTGTTTTTCCCTTAGAGGTTTAAAGTCTCTCATCCAATTCCCAGACATGAGTCAGTTCACAGACTGAAATGTCGGTGAGGGAATGGAGGCCAGGTAATCTGGGACAACACTGATAGAACGTCGCACTTCTTCCCCAAAGGCTGTGGCCATTTAAAACTCACAAAAAACCTGGAACATTTCCGGTGGCTCTCCGACACGGACTCTGGGCAGTTGTGATTCTTGAGGACGCTGGGTACCACTGCAGCCAGTTGCACAGAGCAGAGGCCTGTAAAGCCTGGGTGAGAGAGACGTGCAGTCTCCCCCACCTTCAGGTGGGCAGCTCTCTGAACCCACCCAGTAGGTCTTCCTACGGCGCCTGCCAGTTTAGCTGGAAATACATCCTTGCCAAGTGGCCCAAACCTCCACTTGACTCTCTGACCCGTGGAGTTGACACTGTTAGGGGAACAAGGGTGAAATGGGGCTCTGAACTAAAACAGTAAATCCAAAGCCACACTGTCTCTTTGGGGACATTGTTGAGACTGGTTCAAACCACAAGGAAAGGCTATGGGTCGGGGCCTCACCCAGAACACATGAGCTCCGTGCATCCAGGGTGAACTCCACCCTAGAGTCAGAGACCTTGCTGGGCACGGTGGCAGAGACAGCTCTCCAAGGGCTACAGGCAGACAGCTGGGGAGGCACGAAGGCTCCTGGGAGGTGTGGGGAGAGCAGGGAGCTGAGATCATACTGAGACTCTTTACAGAGCTACCGGGATCTGCTTTTATGACCTCTTGCATAAGTTCTCTTTTCCTTTAATGGAACACCTTCAAATTATGGCAAAAACCACAGGAGTCATTTATTTTTGACATTTATTTCACAGACAAGTTTTCAAGAAGACATCTAAGTGAACGTGAATACAAAACAATGAAGAGACATACATTTATACCTGGAATGAACTCAGAGGCCAAAGCTAACAGCCACGCAAGCTGCTCACACACGCCTTGAGTCTGGGGCTTCCCCAGCTCCTTCCTAGCGGAGTCCCGTTCATCACTGGGCATCAGACCTCACATCCAGGCTTTCTTCACTGCAGCTACCTGCCGTCGGCTACCAAGGAGCCCCAGGGGCTGCCTGCTGGCGAACATGTGTCTTTTCTCATCACTGCACAAGCTCCCGGGCTGCTCACGGCCTCCCTCTTCCTAAAGTATGAAGTAGGTTCAGTGTGGCCTGGATGCCACCTGCTGGGGCAAGCCAGGCTGGCTACCTAGTCTTACATGCATTATAGATGCATACATATGCATCGTCTTCCTGACCTACACCCCGCCACAGTCTCACTAAACACTAGAGCCAGAGCGTTCTCAGCAATCAAGTTCAACGTCTCTCCGGATAAGGAACACCAGCCCAGAGAGGCTGAGGTTTGTCAAACAACACTCAGTAAGTGATAGCGACAAGACTGAAATGTGTCCCTTTTGGCTTCTGGTCTAATGCTTGCTCCCCCAGGGCAGGCCGCCCTGAGCGGTTTAAGCGAATGTGTGAAGTTTCCTTCTTTAAAGATTTATGAACAAGTCAGGTTGTATGTGTAATAAAATCACTGGTAGAAACTGGAGGTATTTGTGGGGGTAACAAAGCAAGTGTAGGCAGGGAATACAAGCCAGTTTCCAAAGTGCCCTGGGTAAGATGTCAGAGAATAAAATGTCCGGTTACTTATACTGCTTTTAAAAAATAGGATTTGGGGTAAATTTCAAAGAAATCAGATAGGATTAAACAAATAGAGGTTTTAGGTAGTTGGCTGAGGTGGCTTGGTATGTTTTGTTGAGCTTTCCAGCAGCCAGAACAAAGACAGAAAAGCAATGTTATAAAAATCACAGTGTTTGTAATCCTTTTTTTTTTTTTTTTCCTATTTAGGATCAGAGCTTTCCCTGGTACTGAGACCCAGAGAAAAACCTTTTCCTATGGATCTTCATAAAGGCAATGCTATGTGATATAAAAGACACATTATTCATTCTGACTTTCATGCTCCAGTTGAGAAAAGACAAGATGCAAGTCATCTTGGTCTAAGATGGTGGGCAGGACCTTCTATTTCTTCAGCACAGAGACAGAGTTCATGAAGGCAACTTAGCCCACGTCCAGACAGCCTGTTTACCACTAGGAACGCAGGCAGGGGAACCCGGGCTCCACCTTTGTGTGGCTCCAGACGAATGAAACTCACACAGACTCAGTCTGTTCCACCTGAGATGGAATGGGTCCTGCACTTTTCCTGCCACTGGGGACGTCGGAGAGCAGAGGTACACAGTTTGAGGCAATTCAGAAGAACGTGATTTTCTCATGGTGGAGTCACTGACCTTTTGCAAGTGCCGAGAAGGGAACGAGCATTAATTACCTTTGCTGCAGTGCCTCCTCTGTCACACCGCCAGTTCCCTGAGCCAGGCCACCGAGTCTGTCTTCGCACGCCCTCACTGTGCCTGGAGTACGGTCTTACACGGAACAGTACTTAATACATACTTAGGAATAAATCATCTACCTTCCTGAATCATGCTTCCATATAATTATCAATCCTGTGTATGTCTTACTAAGTGGTGATTTCTATTCATGGGCATCTTCTCTAGGGCTGGAATTCCAGAACATCGACACGATACAAGCACACGCCCACAGGCACTGCACGCATCTCACTGTGCTAGGCACACAAACGACATGACACTGCACTTAACCATTAGAAGCCTAGGATTCAGAGCACACGTAGGAAATCAACCTACTGAGGTGGGAACAGTTGTAACATCTCCAACGAATGTAAATCGGAAACATGTATCAATGTGTACCTGAGTCACCTGCCTTCCAGCAGGCCACACCCTATTTTGGGATTTCTTTCTACACTGCCTGCCCTCCTTGGAACTCTGCTGAACCGGCTTCGAAAGATTCAAACATCCTCAAAGGAAAAATATGATCTCCAGATGTCTTCAAATACGATAACATCTGACAAAGGAGAGGAGAGATCAGATCAAAAGAATCTCTGCACAGCCCTGACTCTGGCTGTCCTTCCACCAAACTTGGGACTTCCCCTCCCCAAAGCAAAGCCGCCCCCGATTACTTACATAGTAAGGGCATAAATGTCACTGGCCTCATCCTGGAGCAACCAGCCTTGGAAGACCAGATTCTGTGGTTTCATCTGTAACTTCCAGGAATGAATTAACTACCTCCCTGCCTCTCCCCTCCCCATTTTGACTCTTCCTTCAATACCTGTTGGGTTAGTGCTAGGGGATTATCAAAGAGGTTTTTCGGACAAATACGTAAATGAGGAAAACGACAATAGTGTTCTAGACTGGAAGTTTCTGTAATTTCTGTAAATCTTTCCACTTTCACTCAGTAAGCTATAGAGTTCTATAAATTACTCTGGGCTCTACAGTTAGGTGGGTAATCCTATCAACAGGGACTAGAAGCCTCAGAAAAGGCTGATTGTATTTAACAAACAGCCCTGGAGGTGGTGGTCTGAATGAGCAGCTATCTGATCTAGAGCAGGCCTAAGGAGTCCGACTGGTCTTAGAAATAGTGAAGGTTTCCGGTTTCTACCACACTTCTTCCCTACCCCCTTAAAGTTTGAGAAAACTATTAATATATAACATTATACTGAAGTGTGGGGTTGGGAGGCATAAAATATGCCAACATGCCAGTCATGTTCTAGGTAAGAACTAGAGCAGAGGTAGGGTAGAACATGTCTAAGATTCTACTTTCTTTTAATGAGACACACCACGGGCATGCATCCTATTTAATCTGGGGAGGGCCTGGTAGCTCAGGAGAGTCAGACGAGAGCACCCAGAACACCTAAGAGGTAAGTGTAGGACTTTCAAGAAATGATAAGAGGAACTGGATTACTCAGGGGCTGGAGAAGCAGCAGACAAGGGGGTCGTCTTCAGGTCCAGAAAAGGTCCGATTGGTCACGGTCATTTTCTTCTCATCTCTATGGAGGGCGAGGCGTTAGTAATGTGGCTTCAGGGACAATACGGGGACTCACCCTAGTTGTGGGGATTGATGTGACACAAAAGCGTATAGTGCAACAGACTTCTAAAGGAAGCTGTAGAATCTCAATCTCCCAAGTATCTTCAAAACCAAGATGCACGTGGTGTTGTCCTGATCCTGATCAGACTCCTGAAAGTTCTACTCCAACAAGAAATCTGGGATCAAGTTGCATCCGGGCTCCCACGTGGTGGACAAGAGGAAACTTTCAGCATGTCAGGTCTGCTTGAAAACAACTCTCAGCTACATGGAGGGACCTTGAATGTTGCTGGACTTGGCAGTCCCACAGCAGAGGCCTCGACATACTGAAGGAACCCAGACAGGACAGTCTTCTCCACTTTGCTAAGGGAGAAGTTGAGAGGAACAGACTGGTAAAGTTAGAGGCGGAGGTGAGAAGACGAGGTGGTCTCTTAGCTGATTTATATTCTCAAGCTTGTCTTGGGAATTAACACTTCATAGCTAAGAAAAGACCGCTTCCAAGGGTGACGGTGGGGAAAAAATGGCTAATGGGGCACATAGGAGGAGAAGAGGTCAACGTCAAAAAGTTTTCCTGAATTCATCAGTCTTTCCCTTAGGTGGGTTCTCCGGGGAATACATGGAGGGTGGATGTGGCAGAAGCTTTTCTCTCGAATGAACTTCCCGATGTTTGGTGAGGACAGAACTCTTACTGAAACGTTTGCCACACTGGGCACAGCCATAGGGCTTCTCTCCAGTATGTATCCTCCGATGCTCTCGGAATCTTGTACAGTTACTGAAACTCTTTTCACAGTCCACACATTTGTAGGGGTTCTCGCCAGTGTGCACCCTGCGGTGGGCGCTGAAATGGGAGCTGTTGGTAAAGCTCTTCCCGCACTCCCCACACTGATAGGGCTTCTCTCCAGTGTGGGTTCTCTGATGTATGATAAGACTCGAGCTCTGACTAAAGCATTTTCCACATTCCCCACACCTGTAGGGTTTCTCCCCGGTGTGGATTCTCTGGTGGGCACCAAAGTTGGAGGAGTCATTAAAGCTTTTCCCACAGTCAAGACATTTAAAAGGTTTTTCTCCGGTGTGGATTCTTTGATGTCTGATTAGGCTCCTGCTTCTACCAAAGCACTTCCCACAGACACTGCATTTATAAGGATTTTCCTTCTGGTGGGTCATCCGGCACGTAAGACGAGCATTCCTTCCAAAGCTTTCTCCGTATTTGAGCAGTCGGTAGGGTCTCTTCCCCATGAAAGGCCTCGGATGCACTACAGCTTTCCCTAAATCTCTCGGCTGAGACATCAACTTTCCCTGTCTGAAGCCTTGAAGGGTTTCCCATTGTCTTCCTGAGATGCATTCCCTTTTATGGTATTTACCTGGATCAGCGTTCTGGGAAATGACCCTTTTAGACTTTTCTATTAATGCCCTATGCTGCTCCAAGTCCTTATATATTACCTGTGTTGTATCCTCCTTGATACTACCTCCAATTTCAAAATCTGAAAGGAAAAAAACAGATGATAAAAATTCCAAACCAGTCCTGTATTATGTATTAACATAAACAACACAGCCGACTCATCTGTGTTAGGATGCCTGCGTACTTCTCTGACCTCTCAGGTCCTGTTACCCATCTCTGATTCATTATGCCTTATTTTCATTCAGCTCTATGAACAGCCAGTAATACCTAGTACAAAGTAGGCCTTCAGAATGTTTTCTGAATGGCACTGAAATCCAAGCCGTCATTCCCCATACAGATCCTGAGTAATGGCGGACGAACTTAGCTTTCTCCCTGAAGTTCTACTCCCACTCACCCTGCTTTCAAAATTTCACATCTGCGCTTAAACACACCATACCAACGTTCAGAGCAGATTCTAGTGATCAGGTTCCAATTCCTCAATGGACTTCCATGTTCATCAATATCTGATTATATCCTACCCAAGGCTATTTCTTCTCCTCAAATGTCCTTGGCCCTGTTTTTTCCAGCTGTCTCACACACGTACCTGGATCCAACTTAACTCTCACACTCCCCACACTGGAATTACCTTTCCCTCACTCTCTCATCTATGTCCCATGCCCACTGCAAGGGGCATCCTGGATACCAGCTTTTCCAGCAGGTCTTTTGGACCGACAGGCTTTGGAATCACAGAGCTCTGGTTCTGATTCCATCCTGGTCACTTATTAACTGCATGGTTTTATGTGAACTTTTTATTATGGAAAATTCAAACATACAGAAAAGCAGAGACTACAACAGTATATAAAATGAATTTCCACGAACCACTCAGCCCGCATTAGTGATGATCTCCTCGTGGCCAATCTAGTTTCACCTCTATTCCTACCCACTTTCTGCTCCCTCTACCCAGATTATTTTGAATCCAATTCTCGACATTGTATTATTTCATCCAGGTTTGTTTGGTCTCCAAACCCTTGTTCTTAAGCATTTTGCTATGCTGCCTTGTTTCTACTTGCCAGTTTCCACATCCCTGTCCTTGCATACACTGAGTTGAAATTGCTGATATCCCTCCGCCCTCCGATCCCAAGTGCGGCGGTTTGGCGTGGGTTGGGAGAGGACAGCAGCCATCAATCAGTCCATTAAGTTAAGTGAAAGCCCCAACAATGCCATATTTCATTTAGGAGTTCTTCTGAAGCGTTCTTATTAGGTCCAACATCATCCTGGGATTTGTAGGAAATCACAGCCTCATGGTTGGCTCAGATAGAGTCTGACAATTTAGTGTCAGGTCTGCAGCTCAACTTAAAAAATGAGGTTCACAAGGGATGGTACCAAAAGATTTTGTTTCCTGGAATCAAAACGTGGGTTATAGAGGACTTAATGATTTCAGACTTCAAACTAATTTCCCATATAAACACTAGCAGGAAGCATATGTACGCCCCTTCTCTAGTGTTTTATTTTGAGTGAGCAGAGTGCTGGAAGGAAAACAGTAAGAGGTAAGGACAGGAAGATAAGATGAGCTCAGACCGAGGGCAGCTGTGGAGCCGTAATACAAGACTGATGGGGAAACCTGGTTTGGAGACTTTTACAAAAGTCTAGGTAAGAGACAGAGAAAGGCTGAACTGTTCTCACCACAGGTAGCAGCTGTGGTAACTAAAAAAGGGACAGATGGAAGTTCTACAACAGTTGGGAAAAAAAGCGTTCTCTGCTTGGATGTAAATAATGAGAGAGAAAGCATCAAAAGTGCCTCTGAAGTTTTAAGTCTGGATGTGGGAGGACACAGGGAAGAGCCAAGGTGCGGGAAAGAAGACAGTGATTTTAGTTTTAAAAATTTTAAGTCTGGGCTGCCATGCGGACAGATGCCCACAAGGGTGCCGGCAGTCCGTGGGAAACGAGCAGGTGGGGCAGAGAACCAGAGGCAAGTCTCTCTCTCATTTTGCCCCTGCCTGTCCTTTTCCTCATGCACATCATGAAGGACTGAGACGTTTGTGTCTTGAGCCTATGGACACACCTCCTTCCTCTGACTTTTTTCTCATGTATAATTGCAAGTTCTTCTTCCCCATGGAATTTGCAGGTGCTATGAAACACTGACCCATACAGACAAAATCCGAGGCTGAGGTCTCAAAGACTGCATCACTAGAATGCCAGGTCCCTCCTTGAATGAAGTGCCACAAGAAAGATGCTTTGATATACTCATTGCTAGATCCCCCGTTCCTCACACGGCACAGGCCCCTCAAATGCCTGTTTAATGAACAGACTCATGAGCAATATGCCCAGAGTTACTGATTCTTCAGTAAATCACACTTCCCCCTCAATGGTTCTTACCACTTACCGCTTTGCAGTAGACCCTGAGGCCCCTGGAATTCCGACTCTTGCACAATTTCCTCCTCACTCATTCTCTCGCTACCAGAATCTTCTATCATCGCCTCTTGTGAGGCCTCCTCAGGTTCCCAGCCTGTCGGTTCCTGGGGTTCAATCTCAACATCCTCTCCTTCTTGCCCTGAAGGTGATGGGACTTCTGGAGTGTTGGTGGAAGGAGTGGAGGCCCGAGCGTTTATCAGGGCATCCATCTCCTTGTAGAACGCACACGATTCCAGCACGTGACCGTTTTTCACTTTGCGGTAGCTCTTCTGGAGGCTTTTGAACTTGGTCCGGCACTGTTCCGGTGTCCGGAGGAAGCCACACTCCCGAAGTTGTTCCGCCACGGCCCCATACAGCTTGCTCTTCCGATGACAGGCTTGGAGAGCTTCGTAAAACCGAGTCTCACGGAGGATATCAAGAAAAGTCTTGGTTTCCTCGTACCCCCAGTGCACACCTGCCACGGAAGGAAAAAATACAAAGATATAAGAAAAAACGTCTGCAGCCTCGAAACATAAGGGGTAAAAGAAAACAGATCCCCTTCATTGTGGCAACAGGAACTATGACATGCCAGGGGAGAAGATGTGCAAAAAATGAGAGGGTCTATATAAAAAAATCTATAATTTACTGAAAGACATAAATAAACTAGAAGAAATGGAGAGACACTATGTTTCTGGATAGAAAAATTCAAGTTGTACGGATATGAACTCTCAAATGAATTTAAGTTAACATCCTGATAGGATTTTTAAACTGAAATTGTTAAACTGATCTCACAGTTTATTTGGTAGAGTAAGAATGTAGTCCCTCAGATCTGCCATTGCTTTGGCGATTAACCAAGGATTCGGCGGACTTTTAAAAATGGTTAAAACTAGGGACACCTGGGTGCCTCAGTCGGTTAAAGTTATCTGCCTTTGGCTCAGGTCATGATCTCAGGGTCCTGGGATTGAGCCCCGCATTGGGTTCCCTGCTCAGTGGAGAGCCTGCTTCTCCCTCTCCCTGCCGCTCTGCCTACTTGTGCTCTGTGTCAAATAAATTAATAAAATCTTTAAAAAAAACAAAACAAACAAAAAACCCAAAATGGTTAAAACAGACTAGGACACTTTTTTTAACCAGTCTTCCTTAAAGAGCAGAACTACAACCAGAGTCATTTTTGAGGTCACTGAGTCCTCTACTGTGAAAGATGAAATGACTTGCAAGATGAACAGATGTTCTGCTTCTATGGCAGAATCAAACTTTTCAGGACATGTCTGCATACAGTTTGTTAAACTATGCTTTTTGTGTGTTTTGTAAGTAGGAAGAAGTCACTTCTATGCTCAGTCTTACCCCGTGCTCTCCTCCAGGGCTAGCCCTGCATTCGCACACTTGGGACTGCCCTCCTGTCTATGGATTTCCAGATTGGGGAACACCTGTACATGCATGATGCATCTTCCCCGTGTTTTCCTGAGCTGTCTCTTTTGAATAGATGTAGTCATCAGTGCACCCCAGCTCTCCTAGCCTGATTTATTTCTCCACTCTAAGAACTTACCATCTTTTTTAAAAAAGATTTTTTTTTTGAGAGAGAGAAAGGGAGGAAGCACAAGTAGGGGGCAGAGGTAGAGGGAGAAGCAGGCTCCCCACTGAGCAAGGAGCCCAATGTGGGGATCAATCCCAGGACCCTGAGATCATGACCTGAGCCAAAGGCAGACACTAACTGATGGAGCCACCCAGGAGCCCCTAGAACTTGCCATCTTTTCATAAGGTGGCGTGGAGAAACTTTCCTAGTAACACCTGGCAATGTCTCACTGCATTTCACCAAAATAGTCTCTCATTTTGCCTGGCCTATCTTTTACATGCATATTATGAAGAACTGAGATGTTTGTGTTTAACATCTGCAGAATGCCTTCCCCAATTTTTATCTATTACCTCATTTAACACTAATGATCCTGGAATCCTCAGTCACATTTTACTGATGAGAAAAATGAAGCTCAAAGTACTTACAGGATGTGTCTATTGTCACCCAGTTGTTAACCGCCAGGTTAGTTCTGCACATCCCTAATTTCAACACAAGCTTTCGTATATATCGTATGCACTGTATCTTTTTCTACCTTTTAATTTCAAGGTCTCTGTGTCATATACTTAAACAAGTATCTCTTGTAAGCAATATTTCATTGTTTTTTTAAATGACTGATAATCTTAGTCTTTTAAGTTTGTAACTAATGACATATTTGGACTTATGTCTACCATCTTACTGTGTTTTCCATTGGACTCATCTACTTTGTGTTCCTTTTTCTCTCCTTTCTTGTCTTCTTATACAATTACAATTTTTTAAAAAAGATTTATTTGTTTAAGAGAGAAAGAGACAGAGAGTACAAGCAGGGGGAGAGACAGAGGGAGAAGAAGCAGACTCCCTGCTGAGCTGGGAGTCCAATGTGGGACTCCATCCCAGGACCTGGAGATGGTGACCTGAGTCAAAGGCGGACGCTTAACGATCCGAGCCACCCAGGTGCCCCTACGATATTTTACTTTCGTAAGTTATATATTCTTTTACTAGTTATCCTAGATAGTATAACAATGTATCTTTGCCTTATTACAATCCGACACAACGGGCTGCTTTATACCAATCCTCAGATATGGGCTCTCCAGAGTCCTCTGACTCTATTTACCTTCCTTCCACAGGCTGCAAATATTCAAATCCATGCTGTGCTCTAGCCTGAGAAAGAACCTTCACGGCCATTACTCAGACTGCACCAGGGGCAGCAGCAAACACCCGAGAGTACGTTCAGTGGTTAGTGGCAAGGCGCTCACGACAGCACTCCCCAGGTTTGGCGGCCTCTGGTCTACTCAGTCCTTTTACCACAAGCCCATATCATCCATTTTCATATCCGAAGAAAAGAGCACAATTCTTACCACTCAGGTTCTGAAACAAGACAGGGGCACCACGAATCTCAGACTTCTGGATAAATTCAATGCCCATTTCATCACCATCAGATTCTTCTGCGGCGTCTTCTTCCTCCACCAAACTGATCTGTTCTTTAGCACTGATATCAACTCTCTTTAGTCTGGGGAGAGAGAGAATTTCCTTTGGCTTATCAGCAGATGAAGCATGGGCTGCAGGGTTCAACAGAGCGTCCATGTCCTCAAAGAAGGCACAGGGTTCCAGCATGTGGCCATTTCTCACCTTCCGATAGCTCTTCTGGAGGCTTTTGAACTTGGTCCGACACTGTTCTGGCGTTCGGAGGAAGCCACACTCGCGCAGCCACTCGGCCACAGCCCCGTACACCTGGCTGTTTCGGGGACAAGCCTGCAGCGTCTCATAAAAGCGAGACTCCTTGAGAATGGCGAGGAAAGTCTTCGTTTCCTCATAGCTCCAATGCACGCCTGCTATCTTTTCATCTTCTAAACCCCAGTGCTGCTGCTCACCCCACATTCTCCCCACACTGCGCGCCGGGATCTGAGTGGCACCAACCGGCTTCTCCTTGACGTGGTTGCTTCGTAGAATAATATTCCTTTTGTTAGAAGAGTGTAAACCTAAGGTCCATGGCTCCTTTCTTTGCTCCAACCGGGCAATCTTGTTAGACACAGACACAGTACTTCCTACGGGAAGAGAAACACATTTCATGCAAAACCAGAGGTCAGAGCTGCATGCCCTCATCTGCTGCCCTCCCAGACACTTGTTCACACCTATCCTTGAAAGGTCTTGTCCAATCCCCCCCTCTTCTAGAGCCTTCCTCAACCATGACAGAGCACAGCACGGGCATTCTTACTACCTATGGTATAGTTACAGTTATCCTTACACCTCTCGTCTTTGGCACCATCATCTACTAAACTTACGTTATGTTAGTTCTCCGGTATATACCATTTCTTTCTCTGGCTAGTTCTAAAGGGAAGACCTTTAAGGGTAAGATACATTCTATTACCTTTGATTCCCTCTCAAGTGTCTAATGTTGTATTGGGTTCAGCACCTGCTGTAACCAGTATTTGTTACTTATAGAACCAAGTGTGCTTGTATTTGCTCCCCGCATATTCCCACCCCCACCCCAACACATGTGCGCATGCACACTGGGGCTAGGAGAGATACGTCAAGAATTTGGGGATACATGTGGCAAGGTTAATAGGAAAGAGATGGAAGGACAGGGAAGCACACGGAGTCTGTTGCCTCACAGCGCTGTGGAGATCAACATGTCTTACATGTGAACCCTGACCCACTAAACCCTGCTTTACTTTTGGACCAGGGGGAAGTTTCTTAATCTCTGAGCTTTGGTTGCCTAAGGAATGCTGGCCTCCATTCACAGAAATGCCAGGAATATTAAATAAATGATTGTCTGTAAAGTATCCAATGCCCAACAGGTATGTAATAAAATTTAGTTTTCTTCTCTAGATAACACATACATAGAAACTTCACAGAATTGTTGAGAGAAGGAGCATCACATCAAATCCTTTCTGAAAGAACACTGGGGATGGAGATTTGCTCTTTATTTTTACATGAGAGAGGTAAGTGTAGGGTTAATCAAAGCTTGAATATCTATAAGGACCAGGCAGGCAGTGCAAATGAGTGAGAAACACGGCAGTTCAGCACGAGCTCCTGCGTTCAGCTCTAGCCAATCACTGCTATGTGAGGAGGTGGGCCCATGGTGTCTGACATTTGATTTTTCAAGAGATACAGGATATCCAGATTTACAAACTAATAGTAAATTAAAATGCTGTGCAAGGCCAATGTATGTGTATAGGCTAGATTCAGCCCATAAGCCATTAGTTTACAACCTATGATAAAGGATTGGGGCAGGTGTCTCTGGACCTGGGTCTTTCTACATGTCATCACAGTTGACCCTTGAATGAAGCGGGGCTCAGGGGAACCAACCCTGCACAGTTGAAGATCCGTGTATAACTTCTGACTCTCTCAAAACTTAACTACTAATAGCCTACTGTTGACCGGAAGCCTTACCAACAACATAGTCGATTAACATGTATTTTGTGTGTTATATATATCACATACTGTATGCCCATAATAAAATAAGTTAGAGAAGAGAAAAATAACAAAATCATAAGGAAGAGAAAATATATTCACATTTCTGTATGTATTTACTGAAAAAAAATCCATGTAGAAGTGGACCTATGCAGTTCAAACCGTCTTGTTCAAGGGTTGACTGTACGTATGAAGGTGCTGGGCTAAATCTGAATTTTCCAGGGATGATCCCCATCCTACTAGTGGCACACTTGACTCAGGACTCTCATGCAGCACACTCCTGGGTCCGGACGCCATGTGAGCTGAGGTCGCACTAGGAAGCACCTGCATGTGCAAACCTAGGCAGATGGCTGGGATGCCCACTGCTCTGGGACGACCGCCTTGCTACCACCGTGTCATCAGTGCCACTCTACATTGGTCACTGATTTCAGTTGCTTTAACTGCTTTCTAATTATAAATAATTGTTGGTGTATCTTCATTTGCTGAGTCTGGCATGGCCCATTTTATAATCTCTATACTTTACTATCTCTATGTAGTGTTGTCCAACAGAACTTTCTGGGATGACAGCAATGTTCTATAATTGTGCTGTCCAATACAGCTATCAAATATCCTGATGGTGGCTACAGTCACCGAGGAACTGAATTTTTTTTTTTTTTAAGATTTTGTTTGTTTACTTGACAGAGAGAGACAAAGCGAGAGAGGGAACACAAGCAGGGGGAGCGGGAGACGCAGGCTTCCCACTGAGCAGGGAGCCCGATGCGGGGCTCGATCCCAGGAGCCTGGGATCATGACCTGAGCCGAAGGCAGATGCTTAATGACTGAGCCACCCAGGCGCCTGGAACTGAATTTTTAACTTTATTTAATTGTATAAATTTAAATTGCCCTGTGTGACTAGTGGCTACCCTATTACCACATGTTTATAGCCTATCTAGTGTGGGTTTGTACACATTTTAAGCCTGTAATTTTATTAAAAATTAGTCTTCGACTTTTAACTTATGTATGAATGAACTGTGCTTACGCCCACTACTAATGTAGGTGACAAATCTTTCAGAAGTTTGCTTGTAAAGTGATACATCAGTGGTTATGTGTGCCCGTGAATCTCTGCTATTTAAGTCATTCACAACACACTACCAAGGTTATTGTGTTGAAATTACCTTTTTCCTTCCATCTGTAGGATTTCCATCCATCCAACAATTATTTGCTGGCCACCCACCCATGGGTCCAGCTGTGTGCAAAGTGTTGGGTTACTGCAGTTAAATAAGAACAAATCATACAAAGACCTTGTGACTTCATGGAGCTTTTAGTCTAGTAGGTACATACGTGTAAGCTTATATTTAAGTGGTATGACCATGACAGTCGTATATAACACCTCACCAATGTTTTCATCCGTAAGTTAGAAGAACACATATATATTTTAAACTGGAAGAGACGAAGGAGTGAGGAAGAGAGCATGGACAAGTGATTACTAGGTCTGGTGAGCTGGCCACAGAAACGACTAGACAACCCACGCGGTCCTTTAGGTGTTGACACTTAGAACTATTGTATTATCAGTAGAAATAAAGATATCAAAAATCCCCAAATCTTTTATGTGAAAAGGGAAAGAATCCTTACCCAGGGAGACCATGTTCCCAACACTCTCTTTCCTAATATCCCGGTACAGGTCTCTGTGAGCGGGAATCTGATGTACGCTCTTTTTGTAGGAAAAACCTCTCGCCATGTGGACATCTTTCACTGGTCCCTGTAACAACACTAACAGCAATGACTACCAAGATAACCACATGGGTCTTCAAAGGATGAATGATCATGGAGGAAACACAGAAGGGCCCCAAAGAAGAATTAAAATTAGGGAGCCAAGTGTGTATGATGTGCCAAATGAGGAAGATATTACAAAGAATCATAAGAGAGGTGATTCAGCAAGGAGTCTCATTAGTCAGACGGCTGGGTCCAGTCTTCCCTGCAAAAGGAGTCAGCGGGGAACAGTCTCTTGGAGGGAGTATAAAAGTTTGAGGACAGTGAAGGCACAGGAAATCCTTGGGACTGAATACCCTAGGAAGGCAGAGAGAAGATTTACAATGTACCTGAGACACAATAGGTAGTCGTGTGGTGGTTATTTCCTGATTCACGCTGTTCCATTCATTAGCAGGGGCAGGAACCCAGGGAGAAGGCCGAGCTGTAAGAAGAGAAAGAAACAATCAGGGTTCTGGGCTCTGGCTCTTTAATTCATGCACCTTCTCCTTTTAAGAAATGAGCATGTATTAAAAAAAACCCAGCAAATATAAATTGATCATTTCATCAATGATTTTAGAACAATGCCTGAAACCATGGTACATTGATGCAGGGCTCACAAACATGAATGCTTGCAGGGAGTTAGCAGGCAAAGTGCATCATGAAAGGGGCCAGGTAAGGAATGGGGGAACTGGAGAGCACATACACCACTGAAAGGGTATATTGCCAATGCCCACTTCCACTTAATGCTTCATTGTGAGACAATGGGCCTGCTATCATTAGAGCTTCTGATATTTTCAGGAGAAGCCAGAAATCTGGACTTTTGCATAAAATCTCAAAAATCTTAAACCTTGAGAACTAAAAACGAACAAATGAATAAAACTCCCAAACCAAAAACCCTTTGTAGGTAAGACACAAGTCTGACTTGGCATGTAAGTTATCAGTTTGCAATCCCTAGTATGAGTTCATCAGTGCTTTAACATGCTAAAAAAGTTAGCACATGTAGATACACAGTCCTGGACATGAAAGGCAAATACACAGTACACTACCTCAAAAGGTAGGAGGAAGATATATCCATGTATACAAGGCACAGTCTGTGGTTTAACTTCTACTCTGGAACTTGCCATCTAGGGAAAACTTCCAGAATGAATATTACTGTGATCAAGAATTCAAGAGGTTGTTCCACTACTTTCTAAAGAAGCAACCTGAATCACTTCCGTGGAAACATACTACAGATATCCCCTGCTTTTCGAAAGTTCCTGTTACACCACTTTGTTTTTACAAAAGGCATACATTAGTACCTATTTTTGCTAACTAAAAGAAATCCAAAAAAAGGATTTTCACGTTTACAAAAAATGGTGAAAAGCGCAGATACTGTTCAGTGTCTGTTTCTCAGCGAGCTGTTATGGAAGCAGTGTGCCCCTAAGCAGGGGGAATGGCACACCACAGTGGCACTGTCCTGCTGAGCACCTCAACAGAACACACTTTTCCACGTTGTGAATTCCTTGTCACCCTGGATGGCAAAATCCAGAAACACCATACATTTATTGGACTAAGCTTATCAGCCAAAGTAACTGAGAGCATATGATCCAGGGGAACTTTGAAGTCCAGAAAACATTAATATTTGCAATGAATTCTATCACAATATGAATTTCAGGAAAGATAAGGAGGTTGGGTACATAGTAGTGAATCCTGCCACTTGGTGAGGGGTTGTGTAAAATCTGTCTGAGATTTGAAGTTTAAAAATAATTGTGCCATTATGGGAGAAAGGGAACTAACATTTATTGACCACCGTATGTGCTGGTCCCTTTACGCTGCCTCCTTTAACCAACACTAACATTATTATTTTCCTTTTACAAATGACAGAATGGAAAGTTTGAGAAGTAACCTAACCAAGGCCACATAGATAATGGATGGCAGAGCTAGGTTTTGTCTACGGGTTGTCTGCCTCTAAGGCCTAATCGCTTAACCTCTGTGCGTTAATGCTCCTTTTCACATTGCTTGCCTAAGGACAGACAGACAGAGGTACAGAGACAGGTAGATATAAACGCAAGCCTTCTGCTGTAGGTCCAGTGATCATCCCATCCCTCTCTCTCAGCCTGACACCAGACTGCGGGGATGCAGAGATCACAGTGGACGGGGAAAGACAGGGTGTTCGACTTCCTCTTATGTGACTTACTAATGTCCAGGGCAGCTAGGAAGCCTGTGCTCCCTCCTCTATGAAATCTTATTGTTTACCAATTTCATATGCTATTTCTGTGATGGCTCACTTGTGAGCCAATTTTTAAAAGTAAATATCTTGGGGCACCTGGGTGGCTCAGTCATTAAGTGTCTGCCTTTGGCTCAGGTCATGACCCCAGGGTCCTGGGATTGAGCCCCACATCGGGCTCCCTGCTCGGCGGGAAGCCTGCTTCTCCCTCTCTTGCTCCCCCTGCTTGTGTTCCCTCTCTCGCTGTGTCTCTCTCTGTCAAATAAATAAATAAATAAATAAATAAATAAATAAAATCTTTAAAAAAATAAATAAAGTAAATATCTTGGGGTGCCTGGGTGGCTCAGTTGGTTGAGCGTCTGCCTTTGGCTCAGGTCATGATCCCAGGGTCCTGGGATGGAGCCCCGCATTGGGCTCCCTGCTTAACGAGGAGTTTGCTTCTCCCTCTCACTCTCTGTGTTTTCTCTCTCTTTCTCTCAAGTAAATAAATAAAATCTTAAAAAAAAATAAAATAAATATCTTGTTTCTCTTTCCAAACCGTTTTTAAAGTTGTTTATAGTCAGCCAAGAACAGACACATACACACACGGCAGGACTGAAAAAACACAAGCTGGTCATGGAATGGGAGATTCTTAAATTTCACGGCATGACCTTGAGGCCAGTCTGGGCAAACTAAGTTTTCCCAGAGTCCATCTTCCCAGATGCCTTTTACTTATACTGCACATACTCACAACTCTTGAAGCAAATGAACCCTTGCTCCCCCAATATTCCATTTATTTTCAAATACGTATTGAGGGGATATTACTGTGAGCAAGTCATGGAGTTAGGGTTACAAAATACATGTGCAATGGTCTCTGCACTGGGAATGCTCTGAGTTCTTCTTACCAATCTTGGGTAAGGGCCGATGCTCTCTCTTTCGGTTCAGCTGCTCCTCATGTCCTGAGTGGAGGCTTCCAGCTTCCTCCAAAGACACCACCCTGGGTTGAGTCTCCACCTGCTCTGGCTGAAAGTCCGTTACCTCCCATGCTGCTCCCAGTGGGACCTGCTTCTCTGAGTGCACAGGACTGCTAACCTGGGAAATAAAGCCAATGCCATAATGGAAAGAGGGAGGAAAACAGGGCCCGATGAAGACCAAACTTCCCCCAGAAAGATATCAAAGAAGGATAGGAGATGTGAGAAGGAATGAAAATTTCACTCCATGCCCAGTGGAGTCTCCAAGGGCATTGGGTGAACAGTATTGTCCAGAAGTCTAGGGATAAGGGAACAGGAGAGTGCTCTTTATTAGTACACAGAGGGGAGAAAATCTATCAGGAGTAAAATACACAGCCTCCTTAGTATTAGAATAGATGCTGAGTCCTCACATCTATTAGGTTCAGAAAGCAGGAAATTAATTCACTAGTGAGCTGAAAACATAAAATTAATTTCCACATGTAGTGTCTACCCCTGACCAACACAGCAGCCTACTGATAGGTCTTTATATGAATACAAATCCCGTGCAAAGTGAAACTGCACATCTTGCAAATCTTGCAGGATTTCATAAGGTTAATGAAAGGGCTGTTGAAAACAACTAGAAGACCACGAAATGCCACCGATGGACGAAGATTTGGTGGTTAAACTAGAGAAGAGTGACAAGGATGATGGCATCGAGGGCACCTCAGAAGACACACATTCAAATACTAAAGGACTAGAGAGGGCCCTGGGATAACTGATGAAGTTTGTGCTTTCTTTCTTTGCAAAAATAGCCCTCTTTAGAATCAGGCTGCAAGAGTCCAACCCTGCAAAGCATAATGCATTGTTCTCTCATATAATTTTTGGGAAGCATTATGCCAAAGATGTGAACAAATACTTGGATGCATAATGTTTAACTTCATTTGCAAAATACTATTTCAAGCAAGTTTTTTCCTATTTAATATTAAATTCCGATCCTCTTTTAAGTTGATTCACTTTAAAGGTCTCTCGTTAGTACCATTTCTCCCTCCATAATAAGCCCTATGCGCAAGGCATGCCCCCCGCTTCCCCCCCCCACCCGCCTTACCCATCTCCTTCTTTCTAAATACAACAATTTGGAAAATCCTCTCTCACCTGCTGTCTTAGTCGTCCAGTCTCTTTCTCCAAATGTATTACCAGGGCCACCGCCTCCTCTCCACTTTCCGGACACTGCTTCCGTGCCCACGCCTGAATCTTCTTCGGTAAAATGGTGAGAAACTGTTCAATCACCAGCAGTTCAAGGATCTGCTCCTTGGAACGCATTTCTGGCTTCAGCCACCGGCAGCAAAGTTCCCAGAGTTTACTGAAAGCTTCATGGGGTCCAGTCACATCCTCGTAACAGAAATGCCTGAAGCATTTGCGAAAGGTCTCGGACTCAGAGCTCTCCGATCCTTCCAGAGTGGGTTCCGCTGCCCACTCGGGGTCCTTTTCCATCTTCATTATTAAGCATTCCTCCCGCTCCAGCGGAGCGTCGATCAGAGGGTCCAGGGATACAGCCATGCTCCAACCCCGGCGTCAAACTCACCTCTAGCTCAAAGTAGACTCATAAATCTCCGAGAACTCCCTGCTTAATGATTTTGGAAGTGTGGGAAGGCAGGGAAGTGAAAAACGGCAGTGTCAGCAGGAACAGGGTACTCCGGGCTCATTAATCGAATCTATCCTAGGCGCTTGAAAAGGAGAATTTGTACCCTAAGGTTCCAAACCGGCCTCTTCTCCAAACAAGATGTGGTTTTCCAGAGTGCAGCTCTTTTAGTGCAATGTCCGAAAGAGCAAGAGGGGACCGGGAGAAAATCACGGGGGACGGAAGGAGGGGTGGGCGGGGGCGGACGGCGGGCCGGGAGGGGGCTGGGCTCCGGGGAGGCGAGGCCCCGGGTGGGTGGGGCCGGATGTGCAGGCCCCGCCCGGCCGGGGATTCGGGGTTCGGGGTGCAAGGCTCGGCCTGGGCGGCGCGCCCAGGCCGCTGCGGGTGGCCTGTGGGGCCGGCGGTGTCCGAGGCCAGCGCCGGGCTCTTCTGGGCCCAAAGCGGTCCCGGCCGTCCTCAGGAAACCTCCGCACGCCGAGGAAAGGCCGCGAGGCGGTTCCGCCCCTAAGAGGAGAGAAGCCGCGGGGACCCAGCGGGACCTCGCACAAGGCGGCTGTTGGCCCTGCGCGCGCGGCCTGTTCCGCTCCGTCCGCGGACTGCGCGGGGGGCGCTGGGAGCCTCGGCCACGCATGCGCCGCCCGCGACTGCGCGCCGCGAGGTCCGCGGAGGCTTCCTCGCGGGCGAGGGACTGGGGAAGAGGGCTGCGTGGTGGACTCTCGCGAGACGCGCAGCGCAGCGACTCGCCGCTGAGGGACTTTAGGAGTGAGGAGGGGCGCGGAGAACTTCGCGGGGCGGAGGGACACAGTCGGAGGCCGAGCGGACATTTTGAGGGAGAAGATGGAACAGTGTGGAAAAGGAGAGTGGGAGGCTTCCCTCAGCCGTGGAGTCTGGGAGGCGGGGAGACGTCTCTGAGGTGAAGGACACTACTGGGGAGGCGGCGCAAAGGCCTTTCTGCAGCGGAAAAGGGAGAGGGAGCGGGGACTCCTTTGCCTGGCGGAGGGGTCTGTCGCAAAGGGTACGGAAATCTCCGGGGCATCCTCTGACGGTGGCGACTGTCGCGGATTGCTGCCCTCGCTGAGGGGCTCGGGCCCCGCTGTTCTCCTGCGGGAGCACCTGGGCGACCCCGTCCTGTCCCCTAGGGGGGCGCGGGGCCGCCCCATCCGTCCCTCAGGTGAGAGCACCTGGGGCGGCGCGGGTGTGCCCTGTCGGTTCCCCCTGCGGGGGAGCACCTGGGGCGGTCCCACCTAGGCCCCCAAGGGTGGCGCGGGGGCATCTGGGTGGCCCCGTCCCGTCCCCCAGGGGCGGCGCGGGGGCGCCTCGTCTGACCCCCGATGTGGGAGCACCTGGGGCAGCCCGGTGCAGGTCCCCAGAGGCGGCGCGAGGGCGTCCCAGCTGTTCCCTACCCTCCTCCGTGGGAGCACTTGTGTTTGGCTCCATCCCGTACCCCAGGGCGGGCAAGGGGACGCCCCGTCGTCTGGGGGGTCCTACAGCCCTAGCTCTGGGGAAGTTGATGTGGCTGAACGTGAACCAAGGGGGTCTGGGCCCAGAGTCCCCGCTCCTCCCTCCCCACCCGCCACCGTGGTTGCTTGGAGGAGCTGTCCTTGCCTCCCAACTTCTGTGAAACTCAGAGCGATGCTTGCCCGCCCACCCACCCATCCCTTTATTGATGAGGTGCCAGGCAGTGTTTTAGGCACTTAGCATACATCAGTGGGCAAAACAAAAATCCCCGTTCTAGGAGTAGGTGGCCTATTAGAAAAGAAAGCTTAGTGACTTTTTTTTTTCTCAGCAGAAGTCTTAGTTAAAACTCAATCTACAAATTCTAGCAGCCCAGAAGCTAGGAGTATCATTTATGTAACAGGCATTAGGTGAGGGAGGGTCAGAGAGAATCTATGGGGCACCCAGTGTATGCCAGGGGTTGTCTTTGCACCGTTTACTTTTCTTTCTCTTTAGTATTTTTGGAGCATCTATTTTGTGCCAGGCATGATGATAGGTGGTGAGCAAAAGCGGGATCCATGCCACTGTTGCACTTCCAAGTCTGCTGGGAGGGGTAGGCATTAATCAAATAATCAAATAAGCTAAGGTACAATTGTAACTGCCACAGGTACTCCCCAGAAGAGGAACGTGGTGGGAGGATCTACCTATATTAGAGGGATTTGACCTAGTCAGGAGGTCTGGGTAGGTTTCTTTAAGAAGTATTGCTAAGGATGAGATCCCAAGGAGGAGTAAGAGCTGGTTAGGCAATGTCTAGTCCTCACAGAAGTCCTATAAAGCAGATTTGGTTGCCTCCACTTTACAGTTGAGAACATTGAGATCTCAGTGAGGTGATGTAACCACCCAGGGTAACCTCAGGTTAATGGCAACTCAGGATTCAGATTCAGATAAGAAAAGGGTCTTTTATGTGCTCATTGGGCCATTTGGTGGTTTTAGGAGAGGCAGGTGTCACAAGCAGCTCAGGGACATTGGAGAGTACAGGTCACAAGCTCACAAGCCTGCAGAGCTCAGGCAGGTAACATAAATGAGTGAAGTAGGCAGAGTATGAGACAGTAGGGAATGGTGGGGACTGCAGCAAGCTGGAGGCCACATTTTCTGCCTAAATTAAACAGCCAGGTGGAATTCACACACTTGGCAAATACTTTTATTTGTTTCCCCCACCAGAATACTAGCTAAATGAAGCAGGACTTTTTTTTTTTTTTTAAGCCACATGTGCTGTGTGCTTAGAGCCGTACTTCACAGAGTAGGCACTCAACCCCATCTGCTGCCCATAGCTTCTGAGCAGTTCTTGCCATGTGTGCACAGTTTCACAGATTTTGAAGCACTTTTACATTCCTTTTCTCATTTTATCCCTCATTCTCTCTTTTGGCTCCTTATTTGCTTCTGACATGGCTGTTGCAATGAAAAGTTCTTAATGCCCCCCCCCCAAATATTTAGGTGTGTCTTTCTTTTGTACCTCTCCACCCTCTTCATATTTTAGCTCTTCTCCATCCTAATGTGCTTGGCATTATATCTTGGTTTCCTCTACTTATCTAGCTCATTTATATTTAAACAGTGTCTTTTTGTTTTGTTTTTGTTCTGATTAAGAGCTTTAGTCTATTGACTTTGGGCCCACCATCACAAGCACCTCCCACACTCAGCCTCAGTTCCTGCAATTCTAGGTTGCCCCAGCCACTTCTTGTCAGGTGGTGCATGAAAAGTTTCATTTCTTAGAAACTGCTTTCCTGAAACATCTCGCTTCTCAAGAAAGTGATCATCCGTAGACATCTGAACTTCCTATTCCATCACATGGACTTCCAAAAGACAAAATCTCACCTGCATGGGAAAGTTATAGCCTAACCTCCTCAAGTTCCTCTTGGAGCAGAGGGTACTGGGACATGTTCATTATCTCTCAGATGTAGGATCATAAGATCTTTAGGAGTAGTTTGTTGTGTTTTGTTTTGTTTTGTTTTTGTTTGGTGGCCTCTCAGTAACACACACCAGTATTTTTTTTTTTTTTTAAGTAGGCTCTATTGTCGGTGTGGAGCCCAATGTGAGGCTTGAATTCACCACCGTGAGATGAAGATCTGAGCTGAGATCAAGAGTCCGAGGCTTAACTGACTGAGCCACCCAGGTGCCCCATCAAATGCAAAGAAGTAGAATTAACTCTCATGTTCTCATCTTCCAGTTTTAACAGTTAGCAACTCAGGGCCAATTTTATCCTCCCTGTATCTCTACCCACTCCCCAATGCTGGATATTTTGAAGCAAATCCCAGACATCACATTATTCATCTGTAACTATCAGAATGTATTGCTAAAAGACAGGGACTCTTGTTTTAAACATAACTTCAATACCATCAAACGCTTCCTGTTAGCATCAAGAATTCCTTAATACCATCTTTTAAAAACAGTTATTTTTTTGAAAGGTGGTTTGCAAAGAAGAAAGGGTCATAGATGCTGGATAGTAAAAAGAACAGATGTCCTTCACGTTTTCTAATTAGGTGTTTACATTTATTTTTGGGTGAAAATGTTGGTGACTTGAGAAAAGAAGATCAGATTGTGGAAAAAATAGTGAATCAATATAAGTCAATAAATCCAAAGTATGAAGCAGATCATACTACTTGGAGACGTCTTGGAGGCATGGTTATTTTCTTAAGACTCTGTCCTCTGAGTTGACACAAATCCAGACCCACTGTCTTCAAATGATCCCCAGAGGAATATTCACACAGCCTTTCCTTGGTAGTATATCTGAAATATCTGATATTACATTTGTCGTTGTACAATCTGCCTTAGAGTGACCTTTTCCATGCCATTTCTCTGTCCATGGTGCTGATCCACAAGCCCTTTGGCCAGCAACCACAGGGGTTATAGCTTGCTTTAAATCCCACTGGCCAAAAGTAAGGTTACTACAAAAGTAAACATTAACTATACATTAACTAGATCCAGGAAGTGCTATCTGTGCCTATGCTAAGTTAAAAAAAATCCGAGCTAGAGAATTTCCTAGTAATACCAGTTATTTCTCATTTCTTTAATGCCCTGAAAATTTTATCCATTTCTTTAAAAATTGAAAAGTGGACATGAAAAGGTTGAGTATATTGGTGTGCCTATTGTGGACACAGTATTTTCAAATGTGATTTATTAACCAAGCCATAACTAGGTGAAATAGTTTTCCTTTTCACAAATTAAAAATCACCTCTCCCACTGGTTAATTAATGATGGTCAGATAGCTGACAGAATAACAACTGTTAAAATGTTCCAGTTCCTTTCACTCCACTGAGAAATACAATAATGAAAAAATTTCAACTATATATGAATATTTAGTAGTCAACAATTTTTTTCTGTATATCTATGAGGCACCATGCTAGGCACTAGTGGGATAAGTATAAGACATAATCCTTTTACTCAAAATATTAAGAATAAAATGGGAAAAATCAGTCATAGAATTGTCATATATTGGATATAGTGTCCTTCATCTCTTCCTTTAGTTTAAAATCTAGTTTGGGGTGCCTCGGTGGCTCAGTTGGTTAAGTGTCTGCCTTCAGCTCAGGTCATGAGCCCAGGGTTGTGGGATCAAGCCCCACATCGGGCTCCCTGCTCAGTGGGGAGTCTGCTTATCCCTCTGCCCCTCCCCCTATTGTGTTCTCTCTCAAATAAATAAAATCTCTAAAAAAATAGAATAAAAAGAAAATCTAGTTTGTCTGATACAAGGATGGCTACTCCAGCTTTCTTTTAATGTT